AAATGGTTGGAGAAAGGGGTCTTGAAACTATCCACTGGTTGAGTGAAGCAGTAATTCCAGAAAGACATGGCTTGGGAAAGAAATCAACAATAGAAAACCAACATCCTTTCTGGTCAGAAATCTTCAAGCATAAAGTTTCAAAAAATACTCTCCAGGAAGTATCCTTAAACGTTTCTGGATATCGTTTGCTTCGATAGAAATTAAACAGTTTAACTGACCACAGGTGGTGACAAGTGAGTATTCATGAGAGATCTGGATTTTGTTCACTGAGATACTATTTCAATAATAGATAGAATAGATGATAGCTTTTATTTCTTTTTATATATTGTTTTATTTGTGTATATTTGTGCTGTTTTTTCTACACTTATTCCTTTTTTTATCCCTTGCTCCTTGCGTAGTTTCTGCAAAAGGGAGACAACACAATTTGAGTTTATGGTCGTAACTGTAGAGGTGATCTGCAGGCTGTAATCCTTATGATACAATTGGATCTTAATCCTAACCATCAGGCTAGCAATACATCACTTCCATAAATCGCATCTAGAGGCTTAGGCTTAAGATGGGTGAGCTGGGTCGAGGAAATTTGTACTTTGCATATATTCTCGTGCATGTAATGGTTCTCTATAATTTAATAAATATACAACACCAGTCTGATTGTGGGTTAAAAAAAAATAAATAAATAAATAAAAGAATATAATTAATAAAGATAAAAAATATATATAATATTTAGAAAATAATAATTGAATATATATAATTGTTTTTTTTGAGAAGGAGGATTATCCCAATAGATAAATATTATCTCTTTATTTGATTTGTATATATCAAAGTATACATCATGAAAAAAACAATATCTTTTAAATGCATTGCATATAACAAGTTAAATGCTAACTTGTCTACTTGTACCATATTTAACTAATATCATAAAAAATTTCAAAAACAATATTAAAATATCAAATATAGAAGTAGTGATTATGTCTATCTACTTGAAAAGTTGTTTAGTAAAATTTTTTTTTAAATAAAAAAAATTGAGAAGAAAAAATTAAAAGTAACTAAAACTCAAACTTTATCAAGTAAACTATAAAATCTATAAGTAGAAAATTAATTATTTTCTCAAAAAAACTCCAGACAAGCTCATCCCATCTCTCCAGCTTTTTGATTACTATAGATAGTAGAATACACATGATGTTATTTGTTGTTAAAGTTGTTGTTGTAACACAAAACCAGGTTGAGTTAATACAGTTTTTGTTTGAATTTTTACACAAAATCTGATTGGATAATTGAAGAGTACTGATTATCTAGAGGGAGTAAACTGATTTTAGTTTTTTGTTTGAAAAATTTTTGAACTTTAAAGATGGCACAATAAATATTACTGCAAAAATATTGTATATAAGAGTTGACTTAAAACAAATAATAGATTCACTAACTCTGTTTGAGTGTGTATTTTGAAAATTATATAATTTGGCAAGTATGATAATAATAATGTAAATAGTTTTTATGATATAATAAGGGTAGGGAGGAATACAAGAGAACTGAAAAAAAGAGAACTGAAGAAAAGAAAACTGTCACAGGTCTTTTCTTATGCAACTGAAGGATAAGCAAGGCTCTCAAACTTGAATAGACTTTGACCAGAGGTCCCATTCTACTGCACCAGTTGTCTTGAAAGTTCTTGAGGTTTTGAGCTGAGGCTTACTTGTGATAAAGAGTATAAAACATTTTTTCTTATTTAAAATTACTATAAAAAGAAAATTTTTAACAAAACAAATATGATCAGAAGAAAGTTTTTAATTGAATATATATAATTGTTTTATTATTAATTTTTAATTATGATTATTATTTTTATTATTTTTATAGATAAATATCATTTTTTTATTTAATTTGTATATATCAAGATATATATCATAAAAGAAACAATATCTCTCATATATTAATACAATAAATTAAATGCTAACTTGTCTACAATAATCATTTAACTAATATTTAAAAAAAATTTAAAACAATATATTTTGTCAAATGGTACTGAACAGCTATAAATACCTAATTAGTATTAGAAGAAAAGAAGTTAAGTAATAATAATATTAACTTTTAAATATATTTGAGATAATTACATTTATATTGAATAAATGTATTAATAACTATATTAGGCAAATCAATAATGATTTTTTTTAAAAAAGTATTGACTAATAGAATTTTAATTTGAAAGATATAATTGTTGATTGATTTAAGAAAGTAAAATACAGCCATACCTTATTTATATTCCCACTTTGAGACCCGAGATTTTTGAGAATATATCTGAGGTTGGGATATAACTGAGGTATAGCATTTTCATAAATAATATCATGCAATTTTATTGGTTAATAAATTCCATTAGTAAAGTTTGACATTTTGACATTTCTACTGTTTTATCTAAGTGCTTAATTATATTGCAGATATATCTTATATCACTTTCTGTTGTAAATTCTCTTTGTTCTAAAAACTTCCTGACTGTTACAAGTGCTTCTCTTCCCACCTTTACAAAAATGCTTGTTTCTTCTTCCTTACTTGAATCTTTCATATCTACTTGTATCAGGTGTAAGACTCCTTCAGCCAAAAGAATTTCTTCAACAAGTTTGTCATCTGTAGAGAACTCTGCACTAACCAAATTATTATTTATCTCAATATATTCATTTGCTGTCAAATTATCTATTGAGGGTTCTGCAATGCTAAGACTATCTAAAGCTAAAATCAATTCAACTATATTATTATCGGCTTCATCAGTCTTCATATTATCTGTATTGGCATGTGTCATTTCTGCAGTTAATATTTCTGTGCTTAACCAGCAATTCTTTATTGTCTCCTGTTTTACATTGTCCCAAGCATCTGCAACTATTTCAATCGCTTCTTTAATATTTGGTTTTTTTATCTTTTGTCCTTTATTCAACTCATGAATCCATTGTGATACTAATATCTTTCGATAATAAACTTTAAAATTGCGAATGATTCCAGCATTGCATGGTTAAATGTAAGCCGTCATATTTGTTGAAAGAAATTTAATTTGTAAATTTTTAAGACCAAGGGACAAGCCATCTGTATACGCAGGACAATTATTAACCAACAAAAGTGACTTCTGAGATAGTTGATTGTCAAACCACTTTAGCCATTCATTCTATCTTTTAATTGTTATCCAGGCTTTTTTATTGCTAAAATATCTGACAGGCAATGTTGTCAAGTTGATATTTTTGAAACAACGAGGATTTTTGACTTTTCCTATAACAAATGGCTTTAGTTTTTTTGTTCCCGTTGCATTGCAACAGAGCAAGACTGTAATGCGTTCTTTGTCTTTATTAGTACCTTTCGCTTTATCACCTTTTGATGCAAGTGTTTTGTTCGGACCTAAACGGAAGAAGAGTCCTGTTTCATCTGTATTGTAAACATTATCTATGTTAAACGTAGCTATTATTTGTTGCAATTCTTTTCTTCCATTCTCTACTTGGTTAAGACATATGGATTCGCTTTCACCAGTGATGGTTTTGCAACAAATGTTATATCGATTCTGAAACTTTTCCAACTACCCGTTTGATGCTTCAAAATTAGGAAATTGTATGCCCTGTTCTATAGCCTTATTATAAAGCTCAACTGCCTTCATTTTTAACAAATCTTGGGAAACTGGAATATTTTGACTGCGTAAACCTTCAAATCATTTATAAAGTGCCTCTTCTAATGAATAAAATCGTGCCATCTGTATATGTGTTTTTTTCAAATCTGAACTCTTAGCATCTGCATGCAACTGTAGAAATTTCTCTTTATTCCGAAGAATGCTACTTATAGTGAAACGTTCTACACCAAACTCTACAGCCAGTTTTTCATCACTCAATTTTACATCAGCATCTTTTCTCCTAATGATATCAACTTTGTCTTCAAGCGATAGATTTTTTCTTCATTTTCTTTGCTTATCTGCATTAATGGTTTTTGAAGAACTAGCCATATTTAATCAAATTTAACAAAATACTAGTGTAATGGTGTATCGGCAAGTCTGTCGCGCTCACTCTAGCAAAGATTCGCATAACCGTTATAAGGGTAAGTAAACAAAAGGTAATTTGAGACATGTTTTATTTGATCGAGTCTTTATTTATTCATTATGACTACCTGTTTCTATTCTCTTACATTTATATGTTATTTATACTTCTCTTCCTTACATCTGTCTATGACAACTTAGCCATAGAATAATAAGTGTTAATACTAAAGCTGGATGACATAATTCTTTTTCACAATCCTTCTGTCTCTCCCTTTATTACCTAATCTTTATAGTCGTTTGGGTACTAACATGACAATTTGTCACGTGATGGACATCATGTTTCATTTTTACCTGTTACATTTCCTCACACTTATCGTATGTGTATTACGCATTCTTCTTTTCTTTTTATAAAGGGATGGGGATTTAATTATAACACGATTCATGTCTCTTGTTTTGTAGAGATATCATAAATACTTTCATCAAAAGCAGATGACATTTGTTATATTAGGGAAACCGATTGCATTGAATGAGCTGGCATTGGTATATACAAAAGGTTAGGATCACTAGGATAATGTGCATGCCTTCGTCCACTAAAGTAATCTATTTTTTTTTTTTAACGGAACTCTTATTTTGCTTCTTCGGTGCAAATGAAGTCAAGGCCCATAGACATTCAATAAGACTTTGGATCCGTTCATGATTTTTTGTGTGAGGAGAATACGCAATCGTGATCATAATGGTGATCACAATTATGGCAGCATCAAGATGTCGCATCTGAGGTCATGTATAAACTTGAATCTGGTGCCTATGATTAATTTTGTTGTGAAGCTTGTCAGAGCATTTAGACATTTCTTGCCATCCTGAATATATATGCATGCATATTGTTGACGTCTCTCCCGGCGAGTCTGTCGCTAACGGCAGTAGAAACTCGCGTAACGTCAAGTAGGTTTTTGGCTTTCTCTACTTGAGGCGTGTGATTTCATTCAGCCGAGTTCTTTATTAATCACCTTTCCTTCTCTTTCCGTTGTCCGC